AGAGGGTCCAGAGAGAGAGGGGTCAAGAGATAGAGGGTCCAGAGAGAGAGAGAGGGTCCAATCGAGGGTCCAGAGAGAGAGGGGTCAAGAGAGAGAGAGGGTCCATAGAGGGGCTTGTAGATGGTCCTGAACAAAACAAAGCAAATGAAGAAATGTGTCAGTGACCTCCCACCACATGACCCCTGAGGTTACGTCATGTGATCGGTGACATCATCAGTTGCTGCAGCTCCACAGTGATTTAGTCATTTTAAACTTCCTGTCTGATCAACGTCGAGAGGTCGTAACTGAGGACACGAAGAGTTTAGCTGCTCAGGTGCTTTTGATCGTTAGAGTTCATTATTGATCCGATCTGTGTGTGTGTGTGTGTGTGTGTGTGTGTGTGTGTGCGCTCTCTCCGTCCTGATGAAGAATCAATGCAGCTTTGTTCTCGAGGTCGTGACGTCATCAGTTTTCTGCTTCGTGCTCTTCAGACACAGTTTGAATCTTTGGTTCAGAGAAACGATGACGTCGTAAAGAATTGTGTTATAAGTGTTGGTGTGATACCTCTCATTGCCAGAAGGGGGAGATAAACTCAACTCGTCAGTAACACATGTTGATTTGTTCAAACACAGAATTTATTCTCTGTTACTTCTGTCGTTAGAGGAATGAACATTAGTTTTTAAGTTAACGTCTGTTTACACTCAGGTCGTCAGAGGTGAGACAGCTGCTCCTCCCTCGTACCATCAGTTCAATTATATCAGAACTTTATTTAGAACGTCCCGGAGCTTAAAAATACAACTGTAGATATTTGTGAGGAGTTTATTCAGAAAGTACACAGACTGATTTATGTTTGACCAAAAGTTCCTGGAGTTTATTCTGACGTGTGAACGCGCTACATCACGCTGCTCCCCTCCCGTCCACCAGGTGGCGGTAATGCAGGAGACTTTAAAACAACGATGACGCAACACAACAACTTTAAACAAAGACGTTTCTAATTGAGCCGAATAAGAGACGAGTAACAAAGACAGTTTAAAACTCCAGAAATATCAAACTTCAAGAAACAGAATTTTCCAGATGTGGAGATTTTTCAACTGAAATAAAAAACTGAAGAAGTCGAGCAGTTATCTTCGGCTCTGTAAGCCCCGCCCCCAAAGGTTCCTGCTGTACTGCCCACGCGTCACGAAGTTTCCCAGTGACTTCATTTGAACCGGTCGGTTCCTGTGGACCTGTCTCACCTTCAGATCAGGTCTCTGCTTTCAGGTTGTCTCAGTTTGTGAACATTTGTCCAAAGTAAGAGAATAAAAAGTGGAAGAAGAAACTGGGATGTGAGAACCGGTGACTCAGTCTGGATTATTCTGATCTGTCTCTAATCCTTAAATCTGAGCGTCTGCAAACTGTCACTGCTTCGTCTTCTTCAGACACTGAGAGGACGAGATGATTCATCAACATGAGGTGGTTCAGTCAGGACGAGGTTGTTCATCCAGAAAGGTCAAAGAGATCTTTACCTTGTTCTGTTGGATCTCGTGGAGGTTCTCAGGATCATCGTTCTCTGCAGCGTCAACAACAGTTTATACGAGAAATAAAGAATCAACAATGATAGAAAAGATATAAGAGTAATAAAGAATCCTACAGTCGGACCCTGGCTCGTCATGTTTGCTCACTGACCAGAGGAGCTGTTTTCTCCAGACACACAGTCGATGTATTTTTAACATTCACAGTAATGAAGCTTTAAATAGATCAGGACTTTTCTCAAAGTCTCTGAAGCTGCTGCAGAACCGACCCGCTTCACTCTGGACATTAACAAGCGACATAAAACAACAAGGCTGACTGGAAACCTATAGAGGATCCAGAGGGTCCAGAGGGTCCAGAGGGTCCAGAGGTTCCAGAGGCTCCAGAGGATCCAGAGGCTCCAGAGGTTCCAGAGGTTCCAGAGGTGCTCTGGTGGTTCTTAAATGGTTCAAGTTCTCATGAACACGTTTCTAGATGTTTTTAAGTTCTGGAGTTGTATTTGTTTTTTTTGGACCTTTTTACTTGGTTGAAAGAATCGAGTGTCTTCTGCTCAATAAAAAGGTCGAAGGTCATTTTGGTCTTTGAGGAGCTTCTAAAGATCCTGGTTCTGTTGAACCATCGTCTTGTTGAGGGTTCTGTTCCTGATCATCACGTTCTCTCTGGTTCTTCTGGATCTGATGTTTGGTGATGGCTGCAGGTTCTGGTTTGGTTCACTGACTCTGGTCAGAGGTCAGAGGTCATGTCCTCTAACTGAGCTCTGATTGGCTGCCGGCCGATACAGAGAGATGTTGTGTGAAATGATTGACGACGTGTTTACTCTGCTGGTTAGTGCTTGTATATATTTGT